CCCGCCCCCCCCCCCCCCCCTTTTGTTCCCGGCAGTGTCGCCTGGTGGTAGCGGCGGTAGACTCGGATGCTTTGAGCTGCTATGCGGCCCCCGCCCGCGGAAGCGACTACCGTGGAACCGTGGGGAGAGGGCAGGGATGGACCCAAGCCCACGACCCAGTTGGGCTGCAGGAGTTCAGGTACAGTAGCAATATCACTTCAGGAGCGAGAGACACCATGATGGGTTGACATCGGAGTCCGCAGGCCTGTTCATCGAGTGGACGACACTGACAGCCAGTGCACCGGGTAGTCTCTGCCTAGCGTGACCGCCGCTGTAATCGACGTCTTGGGTGCTCAAGGAATGGACCATATCTCCGCTGACAGGAGATGTCTTGGGGTTATTGGAGGAGGACAAGACTAGGAATGACATACGATAACTAGGGCGTGTAATATACAGGAACACATGGTCCTTGGTCGCCATAAGACGACATTAAAGGCGAAAGGGGGCTAATTTGATCTAATTACTAGCATGGGCTGTCACTTTTAGTGATGCGACCAACCCACCAGTCACGGCCTCAGCCAGGATCACCATGGGCGGATACGGTGTGGGGAACTCACGTCAAACATGGGCATTGACGTGCTGCAGCCATGTGGCCTGCAGAGCCAACCCCGCAGCTGGGATCAGGGCTCTTCTTCCCCAACCAAGCTCATAGCTTCATCTTCGGTTTACAAAAAGCTTTGTTCTAATTTGCTTGCGCTTTCTTCACTCACCGTCGAGGTACCCTGGGCACCCAACCTATCTCTTGACACCCGTCCTTCACCAGCAGTTCCTTGATGGTTCGTATTTCTTCAAAGGTCGTTAACGACCCGTCCTATGTTCCACTAGCCTCTCCAATCATCTGTTTCTTCTGACTCGATTAGGTTCCAAATTGAACCGCCGTCCGGACCAAAGCCCAGCCAGAAAGCTAATGCACGAGCACCTGCCATCAAAGGCACACTAAGGATAGCCCGTCTGTGAAGAAACTTTCCCCCTGCATAACACAATGTCGGACACGGACGAAGAACCGTTCGGCGTCATGGAGGATGTGCACCCGGATAAGGAGCTGCTTAGGCAGATCCTGCCCCGGCGACCCGAGGGCGCCATCGCTGCGCTCAGATCGCACATGGACGAAGACGACGAGCTAGTCCTGCGCAGTGGCACCACCGGCAGAGCCATGGCCACGACGGCCCCTTACCAGGCGTCCGGTAGCGCAGCGCAAGGAATCGAGAAGCTGTCGCAAGCCATGCTCGACGACCGCCAACAGGCGCGCCAGCAGCAGAGCCGGCAGGGGGCCCCTCCTCCTCCTCCTCACGCGGGGGCGGCGTACCAGGGCACGAGCGGCGGCAGCAGCGTCATCAGGCAGGAAGGTGTGAGAAGTCGGTCGACAATATGGTCTCGAGCCGCGGGCACTGCCAGCAACAGCCCCACCCAAGCCCGTCATCGCCAGGAAGCCGCCATCAACGAGCGAGGCCTACCGCCCCTTTTCCCCAGCGGACCAATCCACAGAGAGCCTGCTGCAAAACTGTCGAGGCAGGTGGTTCAGAAATCCGACGGTACCATCATCGTGCCGCACAGGAACTCGTCCTCGCGCCTCCATCCCCAGATCGAGAGGTCGACAAGCCCGGGCGCTCGAAAGTTGAAACCGAGAGACGACACGGGTGGCGGCCCATGGGAAGAGCCGCCGACGAGGGCGGAGATCGAGGCAGCCAAGAAGATACTGCAGCGTCTCGTCATGAACGGAGGCGGCACCGATGGCACCGTGGCTCGGGGAGCGTCGAGGCAGCCACACTCGCGAGGCCATGAGCAGGAGGCTGCGAGACAAGATGCACTCCCCCGCACTACCGCCACGCCTCCGCCAGTCCAGCGGCAGCGACGTGTAATCAAGGGCGATAGTGATGACGACGACGAGAGCGATGGAAACCAAGAGAAGGTTAGCGGAAGTTACCGTGTCATATACATGGATGAGAACTACCATGCTAGGTACTCCGAGAACCTTGATGTGGCAACAGCAGGCCATCAACTCGCTCACCGCATCATCGATGGCGAAGACATCGAGGAGGAGGACATGCTGGCTTCCGAGCATCAAAGTGTAGCGTCAGGAGCTTCGCAGGCAAGCCAAGATATGGGGGGTTCGAGGTGCGAGCCACGGACTCGGACTCCGGTGCTGGACCATCTGCGACTGTACTCGGACGCCGCGCCAGTTCCTCCGATTCTGGATGTCCGGCCTGTCTCTTCGCACGATTTCAAGAGCTTCGACAGCGACAGCGTCGACGATGACGAGGTCTCAAGGGCGGACCACCATCATCATAACGACCACCACGACGATCACGGCCCTGCACACTACGCATTGAGCGGGCACCGGCGCGGGTCTTCCGACGACTATGGTGTCCCGTCAATCACTCAGCACCAGCCCGCGTCGGCAAGTGGAGACCACGAGTCTCTCGACTACCATCGGCTTTCCTCGTCTCGACAAGATGTCGACCTGCACAAAAACGTCAGTCGGGAACCCCCAGGCCTGACCTCGATCCGATCCGGCGTTTCCGAGAGCAGGCGGACCGACATGCCTGTGGTGACGAGAGGCTCTCGGATGCCTGACTTTTTCGGGCCCAGCCTCTTTCAAGTCGTTCTTAACAGCCCGACAACAGCGCACCAGCTACAAATGTACTGTGAGAGCCGGTTTTGTGGCGAGAATATGGAGTTTTTGCAGCACGTAAGCTCTCCCTGGCGATCTAGTCTAACCCTCTACGACAAGTATCCCCTGAGATGACAAGCGATATGATCGGCGGATCACTAACATCTGGATTGTCTTCTCCTCCTTGACAGATCGACCTCTACCACTACAATCTCAACAAGATTATCAATACGATGACAACCATCCACGAGTCCTACATATCGGATAACTCGCTGAAGCAGGTCAACCTGCAGAGCTCCGTCATCAAACAGCTACACAGGGACATGAGCTCGATGGTGTCCACGACGCTGCCCTCGATGGAGTCGCTCTTCGCGAACGCCCAAGAAAGTGTCCGGAATCTCATCTACTCGGACGTGTACCCTAGCTTCGTGCGCCACCAGCTCGCCCTCAGCGCCAGTCGCGCCCTGGCAGAGGATAAGTCCAGGTACCAGGGCCTGGGCGACTGCTTCTGTCTAACTGACCCGGGGTATGTGGATGCCTTGCCCCCGGCACCTTCCCTGTTCTTCTACCTCCAGAGCTGGAATGCCGGGCTCCAAAGCCGGGCTCCAAAGCTAGCCTCAACGTTCACCCAAACACTTTGCTGGGGCTTGAATCTTCACAGTTCCTTACTATACAACACCACATCCCGGGATACAGCTACGGGAAGGAGAGACACGGTTGCTGACATCTTGGCTCTCGCTATAGAAAACCACAGAATCCCATTCTCTGGGCTTCCGAGGGCTTCGTCGCCGTTACAGGATACACACGGACAGACATCATTCCACGCAACTGCCGCTTCCTGCAGGGCGCCCAGACCGACCCTGAAGCCATCAAACGACTCAGCATGGCCATACATGAGCGCAAGGAGACGGTGGAGCTACTGTTGAACTACAAGAAGAACAAGGAGCCTTTCTGGAACCTGCTGTACTGCGGTTAGTATTTTGGCGTCCCGGCTCGCTTGTTTCTTTCTCCGCAAGTACTACCCATCTGGCGATCTTCTCAAGCTAATGGATTGCTCCTCTATCCTGTAGCCCCCCTCTATGACGAAGCTGGCGAGCTGGCCTTCTTCATTGGTGGCCAGGTCAACTGTTCGACCACAATCCACAGCAGCGCCGACGTCATACGCGTTCTTTCCATGTCTGCTGAAGGCGACTACGTCAAGGAGATGAAGGAGAAAGAGAGACAAGAGCAAGAGCGAGCTCGCGCCCTGGCGAAGATGGCAGGGGTTGAAGAGAAGGATATGGCCACAAACGGCACCGCTCGCAAAACCAGGGGCGGGTCGGCGCGGCGCGCGCTGCTGAGGGCCCTGGGCGTGCGCCTTGGCAGCGGCAGTGGTCGCAGAGCTCCGGTCGAGGAAAGCAATGCGCTTCCCGCCGTCGAGACCACAGAGGCCGGCATGGAGCAGCAGGTGCTGGAGCGCATGGAGGGCCAGGAGTTGGATGCGCAGAAGAAGGAGTTCTATACTGCCTACTCCAAGGTGAGATTCTCCCCATGCCTGTCAAGAGGTCCCTCAGCTTCCCAAAGCTCCCTCGCTTGTCTACCTGGGTTTACCCTGTCTCTGCATACCTTGTCAAGTCCACCGGACGGATCCATGCTAACATCTTGCTACTCTCCAACAGTACCTTGTCATCGACAAGGACTTCGTCATCCGATTCTACTCTGCTGGCATCACGGAAATGTTGTGCTTAGCCAACAATAGGACCGGCTCAATCGCCGGGACAGACGTATTCACATTCCTCCAAAACAACGACCTGCCTCGTCGAGCGGAGCCAGAGCAGCACCAGCACCCGCGAGGCAACGCGGCCGTCGGCGACGCTGCCCCCGAATACAAGGGCAAGGTTCGCGCGGCGCTCATTGGGCAAGGAAACCCCATTAGCATCGAGTTGCGTCTGCAAACGCGGCGCAGCGCGGCGTTCCGCGGCTACGAGAGATTCGCGACCCACTGGACACCGCTGAAGGACGACGCTGGCAAGGTCGGCTGGGTGGTGCTGACACTGGGAAATGTGATGATGTGAGGAGGGAGGCGAGCAGTTCTTTTATGTCAGCAGTAGGGATATTTCAGGTCGGTCCCAGCCGTAGACTGGCCGTGCAGTAGTTTTAGGTCCTCGTGGGATGGGTTTTGATCGAGACTTGTAGAGTAGAACAGAACAGGCGGTTTAATTTCACTCAGCCACGAAGGAGACTGTTCAGCCGACATCGGAACAGCACCCTTAGCTCGTCTGCGCCCTCAAGCTTGCTTATGGAGGTGACTATTGGTGGAGCATGCTTCTCGATGCATTGTCCTTGATCTATTTCGATGGTCTGTTCACCTTTGGCCTAATGCCATACAGTGAAACCTATCGAGCTGAAGACGGTGGGAAGGAAAACGGTGCTTCGACATGAAAGTCGAGCTGGCAAGGTGAAACCGATGCCTCCGTCGTAAAATCTTCCTCCGTATGTGAAATTCCTCCCGCAAACATGAACGCCGTCCTTGAAACGTAAAAGCCGTGCTTCCAACTTCAAATCCATTTGATAATGCCAGCGAAAATACCCCGCACAAGACCTGCCAGACCATTCGATGTGGTGTAGCTTTGTTTATTGTAGGAGTGGCTGTCTCTCGACGACGATGAAAGAAGACACTGGGGCCGCATACCAGTGACTTGCTTGTAGACGAAGGGAGGCTGCCGCTGGTCTTCGAGGATATGAAGTGTATGTATCTGAACGTGACGAGGAGAGAAGTTAGTCAAGGCCCCAGATGGAGATGGAGTAGGCCAGAGAAGGGAAGGTAGGACTGTACCTCTAACAAGTTGTCGTAGAAAGTTTAACAAATGCTCTTGATGTGCCGTATGACGTCCTTGCTCTTGTGCATCTATGGATGCAAGGCACTCTTCTTGCCAGTCATGCGAGGCTACCATGGCTACCATGGCATGGAGCTCTGCAGCGAGGATGGATGACTTGAGGGCAATGGCGAGGCGAGAGCGAGATGGACAATCATGACACCATCTAGGCGCTGCGGGTCGGAAGGACGTCGGCCAGGATGAGCTTGATGTCGACGCGGATCTCGCCGTTGTTGTTCTCCTCGCACCACTTGAGGAAGTTGCCCGACTGGCGGCCGCGCTCGATCTCCAAGGGGTTCTCGAACATGCCGATGAGGCGACGGTAGAACTTGACGAGCTTGTTACGCAGGCTCGGCGCGCACCACGCGAAGCCCCAGCCCTCGTCGGACTCGAGCACGGGCGGGCCGACGTCGTGGGCCTCGCGGGCGCACAGGTCGGGCGTGACCGCCTCGACCCAGATGACGGCCTGCATCAGGCGCCAGACGGACGCCTTGGGCGCGAGGTGGCTCATGGCCATGAACTGGTAGAAGCGCGGCGGGAAGTGCAGGACGCGCGACGCGTGGCCGGCGTTTCCCAGCAGCTCGACGACCCCGCCCCGCAGGACGGCGACCCAGAGGTCCCGGAAGGTGAAGACGGCGCCCTCCTTCCCTTGAGGGTGCTGCTGCTGTTGCTGGCCGCGGGCGGGCTCCCGCACCAGCTGGCGGGCGAGGGCGGCGTAGGCGTCAAACAGCTCGGCGCGGTGGGCCCGGTCCTGGCAGGCGTGGAAGCCGAGCATGTAGTACCAGTCGGCGCCCGACTGCATGTCGACGCGGAGGGGGCCGACGCCGCCCTCGCCGTCGACGGGCTCGCTGCCGTCCGGGATCTCGGCCATGAAGGCGAGCAGCGCCTGCTTGACGGGCATCAGGTCCGGCACGGGCCGGGCGCGGTCCTCGTCCGACAGCACGAACCACGACACGATGTCGCGGCGCTTCATGGCCTCCCAGAGGCGCGGGCCGACGGCGGGGTTGTCCGAGAAGCGCGGCCAGAACTGGTTGAAGAACCAGCGGTCGTGCGGACCGCGCATCGAGTTGGGCAGGCTAAAGAGGCGCGCCGCCACCGTCTGCAGCAGGTTGCTGCCCATGGTCCTCTCCATGATCATGTCGATCATGGGCGCGGGCATCGACCGCCGGAACTTGAGGTACGTGGCCAGGAAGGCCGCCGTCTCCCGCAGGGAGTCGTCACAGCACAACCGCACGACCAGGGCGAGCTGCGCCGCCTCTATGCGGGAGGAGCAGACGGCACTTTTGCGGGTGTCAGCGTGAGAACCAAATATCAAACGTAGGCACGAACGATGGACTGGCCAGTCACAAGCGCCTGGCAAAAGAAGACAACAGTGGGAAAATGGGCATATGTTCTGGATATGAAGTTCACTTACTACACTTCGATCGCCAGCAGGTGGGCCTTGCTAACGGGGCTATGTTGCGGACGCTTGTGTGTTAGTATGAGGTATGATAAGGGCCATACTAGCGCCCGGTATGCTGATGTGCTAATGTCAACCATGAGTGTGAGGGTGGGCATAACTTACGCCGTGGGAAACAAGAAGACCGCCGCCGTGCCCACGGGGGCAACGACGACGGGGCCGGCAGCATCGGCGGCGGCGGCAGCGGGATCAGCGGCGGTGGTGGCAGTGGGCTGGGCGACGGCAGTGGCGGGAGCAGCGGCGGGAACGGCGGCGGCGGCCATGCTTGGAGCTGCTGGTTTGGCATCGGCTAAGCGTTAGTGGCCTGATACAGATGGGGAAAACTATCGGTAATGCCGATATCAAAAGCAGCGTGGGCGGGATACGGGACTCACAGCCGACGGGAGCAGACATTTTGGATATTCGAAGGGACTGTTGTGGAAGCGAACAAGTTTAGCAATCTGCTATTGATGGAGTGCTTCTCAAAATGGCTATCCGCAGGCCGCGTGGAGGTCGGAGGCAACTCACTTCTAATGGTGCTCGGTCGTGGCGGTGAAGGCTCAGTCGTGGTGGTGAAGGTGAGGAGGGAGCAAGGAAAAAAAAAAAAAAAAAG